CCATGCCTGCTGTGTCGTTCTGCACAAGTGTTTTGTTATTTTCTCCATGTGATTCCCTTACATTCTTGGTTAGATTTATCCTATATGTTTTATTGTCTTAGATGCTTTTGTAAAAGGAATTGTTTCCTGGATGTCCCTTTCAGATTCCCATTGCTGGTGTTTAGAAACCCAGCTGATTTTGTTTGTTTGTGGACGTTTCAATCTCCACCTTTGCTAATCCTCTCTTGACTCAAGAAAAATTTTTGTGGAGTCCTGGATTTTCTATATAGAGAATCATATTAATTCCTTTTTCTAAAGAACTTTTTGAAGCCTGTTTGTGTGTATTTATATTTAAACATGATCATATCTGTGAAGAGAGATGATTTTAATTGTTTTTTTCCAAACTAGATACTTTTTATCACTTTATCTTGTCTCATTGCTTTGGCTACAATGTCTAATACATTATTGTGATGAAACAGACACTCTTGTTTTGATCCCAATTCTGAGACTGAGGAAACCTCTTAGTCTTTCTCTATAAAGTATTAATGTTGGTTGTTCACTGTTCATATATGCCCTGAATCGTGGTTCCCCTTCTATTCCAAATCTGTAGGGCTTTTATCAAGAATGTTAGCTTGTATCAAATGCTTTTTCTTCATCCACAGATGATGATCTTGTCATTCTTTTTTTTAAAATTATTCTTTTTGTTTTTTCCCCGGCCCTCCCCATCTTGTCATTCTACTTCTTGGTTGGCTTCCTAAGGTTGAACCATCCCTGTATGCCTACAATAAATTCCACTTGATCACGGTGCATGGCTCTTAATATTGCTGTTGGATTCTGTTCAGTAGTATTTTGTTGAGGAATTTTGCATCTGTATTCATAAGAATATTAGCCTCTAGTTTTGTTTTAATCTGTAGTTGTGGTTTTGGTGTAGGGGTTGTGTTGCCCTCATACAATGAATTTTGGAGTATTCCTTTGGAAGAGTTTAAACAGTATTGAAAGAGCATGGTTTCAGGTTTTCTAGAAATATTTACAGTGAAACCGTCTGGGTTGAGGCTTTTATTGTGATTGATTATTGATTCCCTCTCTTCACTTGCTATGGATCTGTTGAGAATTTGGGTAGGGTGTGTACTTGCCTACTTCTTCTAGTTCATCCAGTTCTTGTACACTTGTTCATGTTGTTGTCTTCTTCCCAACTTCAAGAGGGAGGTTCTCAGTCTTCTCCATTAAGTATAATGTTGAGTGCTGGCTTTTCACATGTACCCTGAATCCTACTGAGGGACTACTTGAGATTCCATTCTTCTGTTGGGCTTCATCAAGACAAGGTGTTGTCTGTCATCAAATGTTTTTCTACATCTGTAGAGAGGATCATGTAGTTATCTTTCTGTGTTCTGTAGATACAGTGTATTACATTGATTTTCTAATGCTGAGCCAGGCTTAGTTCTTTAAAGTCACTAATCTTGGCTTATCATTTTGATAGTATGTTTTGTTTCTTTAGATATTTTCCATGTAATCATTTTATGTCTGGTCATTCAGGTATCCACGAATATTACCTATTTATGCTCTTGGTTGTTTTTACTGATTTTACTCTTGATGCCCAACTTCCTTATCTTTGTGATTTATTTCCCCATCCTGTAAGCAGCTCATAAGTTAACGTATGATTAACATGACGTTCTTCAGAGAAGCTTTGTGGTTACCTTTGGCATTGCTGGACTGTGCTATGAAAATGGAATGAATTGAATGGAAATGCTCATTTTGTGATCTTCCATTACAGAATGATGTGAATTCAGGTGTCAAACGCCTGTGGCCTCTGTTGTTACACAGAGGTTTTTAGTCAGGAGGCCTTCTCGGGGATTTTAATCTATGTTGTTGGAACTAGAAGTCCCGTAATTGGCACTTTCCCCTGTGGCAGGCCATTACGTATTAAAAAGTCCTGTCCCATGGAATCTTTTCCTCCTTACATTTGTTTTTAGGTGGCTCCAGTGCTCTTTATTGAGTATGATGTCGATGATTTCCACCGCCTTCACCCCACCCCGACCCCAGCCTTTCGCTGAGTGCCTTTTGACTGTCTGTGGTTGGCCGCATAGTCTATAGACTGAGGGTCAGCAAACTTTAGAGACAGAAGAGCCAGTCCTGCCCCACACAACAGTGTAAAAATTGTTCAAGAGCCATCCATATACTTTTACAAACAAATGAAATCACCGTTATCTGAAAGTGAATATTCGCTTGTGGAAGAGTCATTGGGGACAAACAACATCTTAAAGAATAGTCCCAAGTGAGCTACATGCTACTCTGGTTTTCTGAACCAAAAGTAGAAAACCCTCACTGCCATTGACTTGATGTCTATGCACATCGGCCCTGTAGGACAGAGTAGAACGACCTCTGTGGGTTTGCGAGACCCTGTCTTTACAGGAGCAGAAAGTGCACCCTTCTCCCAGGCGCAGCCGGTGGGTTTGAACAGTTAGCAGTCACCCCTGAGGCTCTGTTTTCTGAAATACATATTTTATAATGAGAGTTTTGTACAGAAGGTGAAGGAAGTTGAATAATATCACATGTACATATTGAGGCTTCTGGTTTGTGCTTTTTAACTTTGTAATTACATTTATTTCCCCTTGGGCATGGGGAGAAGGGAAACTTGTAAGAGTGGGAGCGCATTTAAATATAGAAGTGGCAAAGTCCAAAATAAAATTTAGAGTTTACATGGCCCTGCTTTTTCCATCAGAAGCAAACTGGACTTTGCCTAAAAATGATGACTTGGATTTGACTAATTATAAGCACAGGACATGTGGAGTCAATGACCAGAGGTCTGGAGTATTTTTGCTGAGGTCAGTGTCTAAGGACTGAAGATTTGAACACTGCTGGTCTTTCCTAACTGGGCCCTCATGGGACCTTCTGAGTCAGACTGGATGCCAGCGCACAGGACACACTGCTGCTCTGCAGAACTGACCTCAACTCTAAGCACTTTGTCTTTTGCAACTTGGAATGCACAGTGACACAAAATGCGTGCCTAGTGCCCCAGCTGAATGCATGCATGTCTATGTGAATAATGGTCACATGCTTCATGAAGACTTCCTAAGTGAAAAAATGCCCGACTTTTCTCAGCTAATGGTTTCTTCTGACCACTGGGACTTTGTATCCAGTGGTACGTTGGCCCTCTATGTGGGTTTTAGGAAATTTTAGTAATGACTTTTCTCATTCCATCTCATCTTACACCACACTGGATATCGCATCTCAATTTTCCTTATCAGTAGATGTTAAAGTGTGTCATTGGGTGAATGGCTGTGATCTTCCAGGAGCTCACTTTTCTTCCTTGTACATGAAACTCCTAGCTCCTGTGTAAGGTTTTCTGTGTCTAGGAATGATAAAAACTACGGTGTCCAGCCTAACTCAGTATTAGGAAGATTTTCTTTTTTTCAGATATTGCCAAAACATGGGCAGATGTATATAAAGTGCCTATATAGACCATGATGTAATGAATGTAAAGACTGTCATCAGGAAATGTTAACTGGGTGTCTATTAGTTGCCAGCTACTAATAAGCTAAAATCACACTTGCATTTGAGTTGACTTCTGCTTGTGCCCATCCGTGTGTCAGGTGTCCGTAGCACTGTGTCCCATATGGTCTTCAGTGACATGTTTCTGAACTCGATCTCCAAGGCTTTCTCCAGAGGCACTTCTGGGTGGAATTGAACTTCTAACCATTAGATTAGCAGCAGCAGGGCACATTTATAGTTTGCATCACCCAGACACTCACTCCATGACTGTGCTAGGTGCTAGGAGTATTGGGATGACTGAATTTGTCCCCACCCTTACAAGTGTGGAGTGTTTTCTTGTGTGCACTCAAGACAGTGCCAAGGAATAATTACCCTCTATGAAAGAGCCAAGTGCCCCATCAGTTTCCCAGACTGTAATCCATTTCTTCAGATGGCTGCTCTAGTACAAGGGCTCACTCGTCTGTGCCAAGACATTTGGAAAGTCGCCTACCTGACCCACTGAGTGGAAGAGACCCGCATCTGTGGCCATTCCAAAGGAAGGTGGTTCAACACCATGTGGGGACTATGGAGCAGGATCACTGATTCCATATCTGAGTAGAATTTTGTTGAAGATGATTTCTCAATGGCTGTGTGGTACGGGAAACAAGCACAGAATAAGTTCCAGAATAGCTGGTGGTCACGCATCATTTTCTTGAAGAACAATGACTGATCTGCCCCAGAACATAACCATCAGCCGACCTGTGGAGCTCTGTTTGCCAAAACTGTACATAGATGATTCTTTTATTGAAAAACCCACAGCGCAGCTCTCAATACAACATGGCACTTATTAAGTCCCTAGACCATTCTTTGACTTCCAGGTGGCTTTAGGAAACCAGTTTTCTCAAGGTTCACAGACCATCTGAGGGCAGTAGCTTGAGTAGTCACCTCCATCCCTGTGGAATCCAGGACGTGCAAACTGTGTGTGCCACCCATGCATTGCATCGTCCTAGCTGGGAGCCACTGAGTTCTGTTCCCACTCACAGGACCCTGTGTAGGAGAGTAAACATCACCAGTCCTGTGCTGTCACAGTTGTGACGTTTGATCCCAGTGTTGCAGGCACTGTGGTGCGCGGCTCACTAGAATTGTGGGTAACTCCATCATTTCACCTTCCTGAAAGGATTTTGACATTTAAAAGTCAAACCCAGCGATTCTGATGCTTTTGAGTGGAGTAGATGGCCCTGTGGGATTACAAATGGACTAGATGAGACGATGGAAATGGTTACCCATAGATGGGCTCTGGACAAGAAGGTGTTTGTCTAGACAGTGTGGACCTTCTGCTCACTCTTAGTAATTTTGACCCTTCCCTGAACTGCTTCTAGACCAGCTAGCAAAGCCCCCTTTCCCTTCTCATGCTGCCTCCAGTGGGTGCCGCACAGCACGCTACCCAGCTCACCTCTATTTCTGGGTCAGAAATTTCGAGGGCCGGGAAGGAGGTGCGTGCTGAGCACCCTTCCTAGCTCCCAGCCCCACATGACATCTCCTCTTTATTCTAGGTAACCTCTGGCGGGACAGAAAGCATATTGATGGCCTGCAAAGCCTATCGGGACCTGGCCTTTGAAAATGGGATCAAAACCCCAGAGATGTACGTACTCGTGGTGGTTCATTCCTCTCGCTTCACATCTGTGTGGAGGAGCCCTGCCAGGTGAAACTGAGCCAGACCGTAGCTCTCCCTCTTGACACAAGCAGCCCACTTCCCCCTGTGTCCTGCCCACTCAACCCTTCTTGTCGCACATCCAGCAAAGGGCTGAATGGACCAGCAGCACAGTGTGAAGCTCCTTCCTGCCCCAGCCCAAGTTTATCCAAGTGATTAGTCCTCCAGCAGTGAGGACAGCCCTCTTTCTGCATGGGAGCACACAGTGGGAGGGCTGTCTTTGTGAGTCCTGTGTCTTTAGGTTAAGCGATCTGGAGTCTCAGGAAAGCTCTGCTCATCTCAGGTCAGCCAAAGATGCCTAAATAGACTGCCCCAGGGCCCCCTTCGGAAATCGCAGCCCAGCACCTGACTTTTGAGAGGAACAAAACCAATCTCAAGAGACAGGCCTGCGGATGCCACAGCCATCATTGTGGCTGTTGGACGCCCCTTCTCCAGCCTCTCCAGGCACAATGTGGGGACGCAGACGTGGCATCCTTGGTTTCAGGGCTTTCTGCCCGGGGACACTGGTTAGGAATTCATTTGCAGCCGGTCTCGTGCTGTCATTCATACCTAGTCAAAGAGGATGTAATCAGCTGCCAGTTTCCTTCTTCTGGGAGTCCCTGGTGGGTCCGTCCTTGCTCAGCACAGAGCTGTTTAACCCCTAAGGGGACAGTGGAAGTGTAACAGTGGTGTGACTGAAGGAAGACAGAAAGCAAATACTGCAAAGTGTTGGCAGAAATTTCTATAGAGAAGTCTATTGATCATATTCTGTTTTAGTGAAATGTGGTGGATAATATCAGAAGTGTATTGTTAATTAGATCAGCTATGAACTGGTGGGCTCTTGGAAATCGTATTTCGGTCTGGATTTACCTGTTTATCCCTGTTGTGTAGGGTGGTCCCCCAAAGTGCCCATGCAGCGTTTGATAAAGCAGCCAATTATTTTGGGATGAAGATTGTGCGAGTTCCCCTGAACAAAACGATGGAGGTGGATGTGCGGGTGAGTAGCCCTGGACGGTGTGCTGACTGCCCTGGGCTCTGAGAAGCAGGCAACGCATTGGACTGACTAGCTTCCCAGAGCTACCTCCGAGGACTCGGCACGGCCTCTGGCTGTGGCAGCCAGGCTGTGCCAACTGGTACCGTCAGTGGTGATTGATGGAGCTTCTTCTTTTTCTAGCTAAGTGGCTTCCAATGGGAAGATGATCCAATCCCCCGCCCGGGTCTTTAAAGCCTTGGGTTTTACTTCCTCTTCTCTATTGGTAAAGGACAAACTACCCCCCCCCCAACTCTTACCGTGGTCTTGATTGGTCTGATAGAGGTCCTCCTATTGCTATAATCATCGGACTTTTTGTGCCTGGCATTTGTGCAGAACTGCAGTTCTCAGAGGCCTCTCAGCAGGACAGTTGAGCCTTGCACCGATCCAGGAAGGTCCTGAACCTGTTGGTTTTATTACTGGTCACTGATGAGGAAATAAACTTGGCAAAGTAAACAACTTCACTTATGGTGTCCCTGCCAGAGACATTTGGCTTGTTTGTCACCCAACCCACTAGTCTCCTCACACCCCAAAACCTCCCCTGGGGATGTTCTGTTCTTATATTGTTCTCACAGGCAGTTTACCCCAAATGGGCCCCCTGGGGTGTGCTTGGGTGCTGCCACAGGGACTGGCTTCTCCCAGGTTGGGGAGGGGGAGGAGCTGACTGCCCAGGTTCTCTTGGCAGCAGAGGAGAGCACAGTGGTGACCTGGATGTTCACTCTCCTCTAACCCTGCGTCCTCAGGCCATGAAAAGAGCCATCTCCCGGAACACCGCCATGCTTGTCTGCTCCGCCCCACAGTTTCCTCATGGTGTGATCGACCCTGTCCCGGAAGTGGCCAAGGTACACGAGAGCCCTGGGCTAGTCTAGCAGCCAGTGTGGGATCTTCACATGGAATCCACTGGTGCCAAGCTTTGCAAGGAGGAGCAACGTTGATCTTAGGGCTGACCACGTTGTACTCAAGAGAGTTCATGAGCCCTGTGGTCAGCCCTGCAGCTCTGGGCCGAAAGGCACTAGCTTCTATTCTTGGGGAGGAATAATACAAGGGAGAGTCCTCTGTTTGAACTCATCATTCTGCAGTGAGATTGACCCTGAGCTTCAGATAAGGAATAGCTACCCTTGGGAACCTGCTCACCAGAGGATGGTGTTCAGCAGGTGGCCCCTCACACCTGTTCCCTCTGCAGTTACTAAAGGACTTACCCCTCAGGGGACCACCCACTTCCTCCTGGATTGTGCAGTGACTTTGAGCTTATATTTAAATAGACACAGAGATTGTACTTTTTCGGTGAACAGTTTGAAGAGTAAGTGCATTTGAAAGATGAGATTTATATGGCATGTAACAAAATAGCCAGCCTTTGTTTGTTTTTAAGATACACTGATTCAGACCCCACGAGCTGGTCTTGATAGCCACCTCTCCCCCTGCATCTTGTAAAGTCTTCTTGTTTTCTCAAACTAGCTGGCTGTCAAGTACAAAATACCTCTGCACGTAGATGCTTGTCTGGGCGGCTTCCTCATCGTCTTCATGGAGAAGGCAGGCTACCCACTGGAGCAGCCGTTTGATTTCCAGGTGAAAGGTGTGACCAGCATTTCCGCGGACACTCATAAGGTGAGCTGAGCCCGAGGAGAGCGATTGTGAACCTGAGGAGCCAGTTGGCTCTTTTGACTGCACTGCATTAGCTGGCTGGACCCTTCCTTTAAAAGGACACATTTCTGGCAGCTGCTCTTACGGGGGCAACTGCCTCAGGAGGGGAGAACAGGAGGTAGAGGTGCAGGCTGCAGTGAACAAGAACCTGTAACCTGTATCTTAGCATTGGCTAGGAGA